TTCATTTGTTCTAAAAATTACATTATCCTAAAAAGTAATTTTCTTTTGTTAATTGCGCCATTTAATTTTTGTTTCTTTAAAATATATCGAATCTACCAAAAATCAGTTAAACGAAAAAAAATATCACTTGATGATCATCAATATGCAGTATTTATAATTTGCATTCTTTGCATGCTATTACCCATCCTTTGTGTGCTCTCACCCATTTGGATCCCGCCTGTTGGGTATATTTCTTTACGAATAAATATAATAAACACTTATTCTGCAAAAATCATTATACTAATGTCGATTACTTCTTGCTAGACTTTTTATTTTAGCCAAAATAATGGGAACTTTTCAAAAGACGCATGAAACGCTTGAAACTCTATCTATGTATGAGAAAAGGCCTGGTCAAGCACAAAGGTTTCTCGGTAATAAATAGTTTTTTTATATTTTTTCATAGCACAGTGATAATACATGTAGCCCTTATGTAACCTATTTATAGCTCGCATGAGCAAGAACTTCAGGTGGCCCACTTCAATGCCGGGATACATTAGAAGGGGTACGTTTATACATATCATTGATGATGACGATGAAGAGTTTGGGTTGGAGGTTGGGCTCAATTACTTATTTTTCTACAACGCACTCGACAACGGTGAATTTGCTGAACATAAAAATGAGTGGGTGACAATACACAAACAGAGAATAGTAGAGTATGGGAAGAGGTATGACGATGATAGACTGAGCAACATTCTTGAAACTATGCCTGGCGCCGTCCAACTTCCAGTCGACCAGACAAAACTGCCACGTAGTCCACCGGCGAAGATGGTGACAGTTCAGCGTGTAAACAATGGCAACGATTACAAGGTTTGAATACACACTTAATTATATATTTAGGATTTCATTATGAAATTTAGTACTTTAAAGGTATATCATGTACTGTAGTTTCAAGTTAACTTAATTAAATTTTCAAATAAAGGTCAGAGTTCGTGTCAGAAGACCAAATGATGGATCAATTGTTTTACTTCCTTATGATTTTTATGATGCGCAATATAACAACAAATTGTATTCATGTGTGGTAGATACAGGTGCACCACAAACAATCTTACCATATTATATTAAAAGAACACTTGGCGGAAGATGGGGATGGAGTACAAATTATGAAATAACCGCAGGTTATGGAGCACCTGCAATAAAACATCTTGCATGCAGAATGTTTGATGTTTCTATTGGCGATGATAATAATTGGACCAAATGGGTTCAGGCCAAAATCACGGTCTGGGAAGATGAACCTGGTGATCAGGTTGAATATGCCCTTGTCGGTAATGATGTTACATATCAACTGGCTTATATACATGAGCCGAAAAATCCACTTAAATTCTTAGATATTGGAGATGAAGTTAGACTTACTACATTTTCAAATACTTGTACGTAGTTAAACTGACTTACTAACTGCATTATGTTTTTCTGAAATGAGTGAAAATTTTTAATTATGTGAGAGATTTTTATTCATAAAAAAAAGCAGTATACTTACATTGGAATAAATAATATTTTTTCTGATCGTCGCTAACAAAAAAAATAAAGGTTGTACTGCACCATGAATGAGGGTAAGCATCTCTTGAAGTTCTCAGATGAAAGCATCTGATCATCTGAAATGCGCATAATATTTGCATATATATATATATATACAGTATATTTCGCATTTTTTTTCTAAGACTTGATTTGTATTTACTTTTTGCGTGTATTAATAAAGTGAGTCTTTACATTCGCAACATTGAATAATTCCCATTGTGAAAAAAAAAAATAATATCACCCATGTCAGTTAGCAAGGCTAACCCACCAGAGCCTGATTTATTGAACCTTCGCTAAAGTTCGGATCAATCCGAAAATTTTTCGGATCGGTTCGGTTTTTTTCGGTTCGGATTGTAAAAAATAAATCCGAAAAATTTCGGATCGGTTCGGATTTTTTTCGGATTATAATTCAATCCGAACCGAAAAAAATCCGAACCGAACGGATTC